TCGTTAGGACAATCATGGTTCCAACCTTTTAAAAAATTACACTCTTTTTTCCCCTTTTCTTTTCTGGTTCTATGGATCAACCCAGAGTCTTATGCATTCTTGGTGAGTGGGTTGCCACTGAATTTAAATTTATAGTTTCCAACTGGGCCGTGGTGGTGCATGCCTTTAATCCCAGCACTTGGGAGGCAGAGGCAGTCGGATCCGTGAATTTGAGCCAGCCTGCTCTACAAGACAGACTCCAAAGCTACAGAGAAAACCTGTTTCAAAAAAGCAAAAAAAAAAAAAATTTATATTTTGCCAATTGAATGCCAATTAGCAAACCTGCTAATTTTAAAGCTCTACTAGGTTTATACTAGTTTGAGGGACTGTGCATTGTCTCTATGATAGAAGAGCCAGTGGGAAACTGTTAGCATTTCTTTTCCACAACAAAACTGTGAGCCTAACCGACAGCCTGGGTCCTATAAGACTTGTTTGCAAAGGAAGTTTTCTATTGTTCTAACCACCATATTAGATCACCAACCACTTACAGCTCTGACTCTCACACGTCAGCGTTTTGACACGCGTGGGTCCCATCTGCTTTAAGTCACGTCACTCTCTTCTGCCTAGTGAGTTACCAATAACTCCCATCCTGTTGTGTTGGGCCCTTTTCTGAGTGGTTCTATTAGCTTGGGTGATCTCTACCCCATGGTGAAGGCTTAGGCTACCCCTGGGCTCAGAAAGGAGCAATGCCTTTCCTTTCCCACGGTATAAAATGCCAACAAGTTGACTTTCAAACCTAAGTCTTTGATTTCAAAACCAGTTATTTAATTTTTTCAAGCAAATTGAAGTGGCTTGTTCATCTTTTGAAATATCTCTGGGTGAAAAGAAATGAGGGCTAAGGATGTGACTGTTGTAGGTGTGGTTGAGGGGAGAGCTTTATTGTGAAGATGGGGAAGAAAATAGCCAGAGGGTTCAGACTGAGCACAGCCAGGAGAGGAGACAGGGACAGGGAGAACCAAGAGACAAAATCCGTAGCCCAAAGAGGTTATATAGGGATCAGAAGCTGAGGGAGGGGGAAGAGAAGGCCAGTCCTTGAGCTGGAGAGATTTAAGGTAGGTTGAAAGGTGTTGGGGTGCTGAGCGAGACTTGCCATGGGTTCCTTTGAGACCTAGCAACCTCTGCTGTAAGCCCTACTGTTTTCGCGAATCTGTTCTCACAATGCTTTGCTTCCATCTCATAATGATAATGAAAAGTAACACCAGTGTGCATTAAACTACGTGTTATCTCATTTAGCCCTCACAAACTACCGAAGTCAGATACTATTATCTCCTACGGGTGAGATACCAGCCTGGAAAAAACATTAAAAAACACAAAATCTTGCCGGATGTTTACACAACAAAAGTGCCTGAGGCAACTTTTGAGCTAGCGTGGAGCCCTGGGTCTTCTTGGTCACATGACCCCTACATCCACACCAGGACATCAGCCGCAAGAACATTTTTTACCTTTTAGTTCAGGCAACTCTAGTTTGTTTTGTATACCCAAAACATGTTTATTGGGGTGGTTTTCCACTTATCTCGGGGTGCTTTTTAAATCCTGCTTCCTCCAGAAGGACCGGCCTTCTGTCAGCCTTGCTCTTCCTGCTACAGGCAGGCAGACAAGAACTGAGGAGCCGAAATAGAAAGTCTTTGCGTCTGCCTAAGGGCTGTGCTGACGTCCCAGCAGCCTGGACTTCTCCCAGCCACGAGCTAGGAGCTGGAACTCCACAGGAAGAGCTACTTTTTGTTTCCCCTCTCTTTTCTGGAGAGATATGGAGGCGTCCCTTTGAAGAGGTGTATTCTTAAAGGAGGTTGTCATCACCAGACAGCCCCAGATATTATTAAAGACCTTGTTTTATAGTATATGATTAAATGTGAAAGTCAACCCACATGTTATCTTTTCCATTCTCTGTCTCTCTGTCTCTCTCTGTCTCTCTCTTTCTCTTTCCATCCTCCCTCTCTCATTGTCCTCAAACTCCCGGTCTCATATGGTCCTCTTGTTCAACCTCCTGATTAGCTTTTACTACTGAAGGCACGTGGAACCGTCGTAATCCCACATCCTCGTCCTTCAGAACAGGTCGGGTTTTTTGGTTATGCATAAACTGTCCCCCAACCCAAATACCTTCCTGGCACACCCTCAGGAGGTAGTGCAATTTCTTTTCCTTTTTTAGACATAACTCTGTCATCACTTTTGTCTCTGAGAAACATTGAGTGTGGCTGGGCGACATGGAGACACAGAATGTAACAGTTTTCCTATTTCAACAATTTCCTTTTTTTTTTTTTGATAGAGAAAATTTCAAATGACTTTTACATACTCATTTATTCAGATACAAAAGCCTCACCAAGGAGATAAACTGAGGCAGTGACCCTATATTCCTTTAGTGTTTTTATGTCTCAGCTGTACTTTTGTAATTCCCTAGTTTATTTTCATTTTCTCTCGGTGATTGTGGAAACAAGCCTTTCAGATCTATATCCATGTGTAAGTTAGCTGGAGGTGCAGCGGATACCTGTACCTGCCGAAAACTTTCAAAAATGCTGATTAAAAGTGAATAGTAATTAACTATGTATGGAGGCTAGCATTCTGTCACTGAGCTGCACACCCAACCCTTTGCGGGTTTTGTTCTGTTTTGTTGAGCCCAAATCTCACCAGGTTGCTCAGTTCTGGCCTTGGGCTTGCCTTTGGACTCGTCACAGTCACAGGCATGCAGCATCGTGCATCTTAAACTTTTAAGTTTTCACACTCCAGCAGACTTATAGTTGACATTTGAGTTACATGTCCACATAAAACAGGCACATCTCTCAATTCACCGGAAGATAAATAGTATATCTAGGTATGGTTTAAAACTCAAAGTGGCTCAAAAAAGGTTGTAGAGGCCAAAGATTAATTTCATCCATCTCTTTCCTAACTTTGTCATGTGCACACGCGTGCACTCTGAATGCACTTAAACTAAAACTTAATGTGGGCAGAACACTGCTATAATATCATAATATCATCAGAAAGATTATGACTCTGTCCGAAGCCCAGAGCAGAGAAACGGTCTGTGGGTGTTGACAGTTTGAATTATACTAAACTATCCAGTCTGTTCTGTGCTCAGAGAGTGACCTGGGCCTTAAGAATTTTTTAGCTTCCTTGTATTCTGCTTTGTTGTTCTATACTTGTTTGTTTCCTGTTTGTTCATAATCGTTCACAATCTGGGCAACGCAAGAGGTTCAGCCAGTCAAAAAAAAAAAAACCAGCTTTTGTTACCTATAAACCTTAATCAAATGTTGTTTTTAACATTTATTCTTTCGTAACTACTGCTGATTTCCACCTACAAATTACTTTGAAGATAAGACACTGTGGCCTGGGGATAAGTGACATTATCTCTCTGAAACACAGGGACTGACAAATGCAGGGTTCTGGGTGGAGACGGTGGATGAGTCACCTGGCCAGGAACACAGACGTGGCCAGCTCTAGTGACCTTCTCTAGTAAGGCCCTAAAGTAGGACACATGACTGCCATTGACTGTCATGCTAGGCCTCAAGGAGGAATGAGTCCCATAGCAGGCATTTTTATAATGAGCTGTTAAGGATCATATATCCAAGTAGTTCAATTTTTGCTTTGTAGCTAATTTTTAAACCCTGATTTTTTTTTGAGAGGGTGTTGCTATGTAGATCATGACCTCAGACTTATAGCAATCCTCCTGCCTCTGTCTCCAAAGTGCTCACTGTACCCAGCTTGGTTACTTTCAAATATCTCGGATCGCTTTCATCCACACGCAGTATTCGTGGCAAGTTCTTCTTTGCTAATCAGGCATGCTCCGTGCACTGCTAACTATACTAGGGCTTCCCCCCACCCCCACACACCTCGAATGGCTGCATTGTCTATCTGCCAACTCTATATGAAACATTCTCATGATTTGTATCTTTTCCCCCAAATCTACTTCTGTAACAGATAACCAGCAAAATGGCCCCGACACACCAAGTGCCTTCTTAGGCTCCTGCCAAGCATCTATGAGAACAGACTCTATATTTTAAAGATGATTAGAAGCGAGGCTAACTGGCTGGGGGAACTGGCTTAGCAGACAGTACCCTTGTCATGTAAACCTGACGACTTGAACTTGAATCTGCAGAACCCACATAAAGCCAGGTGTCTGTATTCCCAGTTCTCTTTAGGGTAGATGGGAGAAGCAACAAGAGACCAACAGGAGAATCCTAGGAGAGCCCGTTAACCTGGAGTCTGCAAGTAGCTGTTAAGAAAGAGGTAGAGGGTGAGGATTGATGCCCTGAACCCCACTTGTGTGCCCAAAGTCAAATACATAGACACACAAAACACCAAGTGAAGCTAAAAGGGAAAACAATCTTTCCAGATTCACAACAGTTAGAAAAGTATTGGAACCAGGAGTGCAATTTGGTCATTCCTTTTATCAGTGTGTGTGTGTGTGTGTGTAGGCACGCACAAGTGGAGGCCGGAGTACAATTTTTGGGAATCAGTGCTATCCTTGCTGGTGGTCTGGGCATCAAGTTCAGGTCGTCAAGGTTTGCATGACAAGAGCTATTAACTGGCTGAGCCACCTCACTGGCCCCAGACCTTCCAATTTCCAGGTCTTTAGATACATCCTATTATAAACATTAAATTACAGCTATTGGCTAAGGGAAAGATCCTAGCAAAAGAAAAGGAGGTAATAAGCCAAGAAGGTCCAAAAGGCAGTGTCAACAGCGGAAAAGTTGAGTTCGGAGGAAATAAAGACGTGAACGAGAAAGTCAGTGATGGAGTCAAAGGCACGGTTAGGGGGAGGTGAAGAAATGATGAAAGCGCCAGTAGAATAGGAGTCTGCGGATGCTGCTGAAGCAGGGCAGCGAAGGATGCTGGCAGGGTCCGAAGGACACGCGGCTGGAACCTCCGC